AATACCACAACTTTCGGTACATATTTTATATTTCTCAAAAACCTGGACAAATGCTATATATTTTGTAGTAGTTGGTTTTTCGAGAGGCAAACTTCACTTCACTAAACTGACACCATTCTTAAAATCTTCTTTACAGAAAGGACTACAACATTTTCAAACCTGAAGCTAGATCAGACTGTTGAACAGGTGTAACCATCAACAGATTCAAACTTGGGTATGGAGACAGCCAGTTTTCGGGGTAACCCAACTACATGTAAAATATTCTTACAAGATAGTTTAATTTGAATTTTTTGCTTTATTTTAAATTTTTAAATTGAAAAGATTATTTCCAATGTTTTATTTTTTACATGTTTAGTCATGGCCACAACTAGATGAAAGAAACAATGCGCAAAACTGTAGTCAGGACCAAAGAATAATGGATGGCAGTTTGATTTCATTTCCGAAAATGGGTAAAATTCATCTTCCAAAGTAAATTGTTAGTTCCAAACTGCCTGCTTGTTATAGCATTTTCATTCTATTTATGAAGAACGCACTAACATTAATTATATCTATTATGACCAGTACCAATCGAGGACATGCTCAACAAATTGGGGAAGAAGGGAAAAGGGAGCAGCAAGGGAAACCAGCAGAACCTGCAACTGGATGCTACAAACTGCCCAGAGTAAGAACCTTTCTTCACCAACGAGCTTGTACATTTTGATGGCTGTCTGGTAGAAAAATAAAACCCAAATAAGTAACATGATTTATGCGTTCATCTTCATAGGGAAAGATGCCCGTAAAAGAAATATATAACTTAAAAAACAAGAAAACACGAACTTGTTGCTGCTTTACAAAGGAATACTCTCGAACATAACAGTTGAAAAGCCCGATCATTAGTTCCAAATTGTTTGGGAATTTCCCGCACGCATGCTCGTAACAGCTAGTAGCAAGCTCCACTGATAATTACCAAAAATGTCATATAAAAGGATACTTATCGATAACTAAAAAACTACGGGAAACATAATTAATGAGTCAATCAATTTATCCAGAGAGAGAGAGAGAGAGAAGAGAAAAAAAACTAACGGTGGTCGAGTCGTTGGAAAACAATTTGCAGAGTACTAAGAGTAAGATCGTCCATTAACAAAGACTCATTCTTATACAAAAGCTCTTTCGCATTCAAACAAACAGATAGTGCTTCATCGGGTTTTCCCATCCTTTCCAATATCAAAGCTTTTAGAGCCTGAAAATAATCAAATCCGAAAAACATGACTACTCATATAAGCTAAAGAAGAGATCATACTGTAAAGAAGATGCTTAAACCGATTAAAACCGTACAAGAGCGTAAGGAGAATTGGGATGCTTGGATAGGAGAGTGGTAGTGATTTTGAGAGCATTTTTGAACTGTCGAGAATCGATGGCGTCCCAAATGGGTCGAACCCGACGCTCCGGAATTCCACCAGCTAAACCAAACTTGGAAGCCATCTTCTGCTCAATTCCGTGGAATTGCTATAAAATATATGGATATGTCTATCCCTTACTCTATTCCTAACTCTGTGTCGTTGCCAGCAAGAGTATAATGACTGAAGGGTATTGAAGCGAGAATGTGAGGAACGGAAAACCTAATCAGTGTGTTTGGATGCAGGTTTAAAGTTTTGGTTTTTACCAGGTCTGATCAACCCCTTTGCCTTTGGGTTCAACTCAAAGCTACTCTAGAGTTTGGATTCTGCACTTTACGTTTAGGCTCGGAGTTAAACCCAATAATCTACTCAGTCTCAATCCAAAAGAATTTTACATTTTGGAATTCCAATCTGATGCCTGAGCCCGGTCTATTTTCTTAGTTATTAGTACTAGTTTTTTTCCACTAGTACACTTACATTTGTAGAATATTTAAATATAAAATATTTGAAAAGAATAAAGTATAATTTAATTAATTATAAGAGAAATTAAAGAGTAATAATTTTTTATGGCATCATACATCTATAATCTTTTTTCCCTTCTTAACTCACCTTTGGGTAATAAATTTAGACAATAATCATTACTTTAAAGTGAGTATGAAGGATTACGACAAGTATGGAGAATAGGGGAAAATAACATAATTATAAAAGTGAATAGCATGGAGTGGCTAAAATACTTCAAAACAAACAAAAAAAATGAAGCGACCACCACACTGCTACAAAAAATCTTTGAGCTAATAGAAAGAGATTGGACGGTCGTAATTAATTACGCTAGTTGCGAAGCAAATAAAGTGATTGACAGCATTACTAAAATCATAAACTCCGAAATGATAGAGTACCGAGTTTTCCTGGATCCTCCAGTAGAATCGTTAAATTTCATCCTTATAGACAATAACACTTATGGGCAATAGGTTGTAATTGGATAGTTTATTTTCTCTTTTTTCACAAAAAAATAATAATAATAAAAAGGTTATTATAACCCATTAATATTTTAGAAATTTATTTCACTCGCATATTCATGGAAAAAAATGAATTCGATCTAATCATATTTTATATTATTTAAATATTTTAAAAATTTATAAAAATCAAATTGAGTCCGAGATAAAATTTATCATGCCCAGACATGGACCAAAGTAGTCAATAGGTATACTTGACAGTTTGTTGGGCCTAATATCACATTGTAAGTAGAAAATGGATTCGGGGAGCCCAGACTGGAGGGAGCTTGGAGCTTAAAAAATATATACAACGTGATCAAACCCCAACAACCATTACCACCTTTTCAAACAAAAATCTGAAGACCAAGCCCACCCTTCACATTCAATATCAATTTCTGTGTTTTTATTAGTTTTAATGGTTTGTTTAAAAGCGAAATCTCTCTCGAAATCCTCCACCGTGCAGCGAATCAATATTTAATATGAATAACTCTTTGGGTTTGATTAGCCTTAACATTTTATTTTTCTGATAGAATATTGAAGGATATCTCAACCACTTGGGATCGTGGTCTTTCCATTGGACAAAAGATATTCAGAATCTTAAAGTTCAGCATCTATTGCTGTTGTTCGATGGGAGCTCAGTTAAATGAACTTGGACAACGAACCTCAATTGCTAAACATTTTGATTTAATATATGTCCTCGTAACTTTAATTAATTTTTTTTATCAAACATTTCCTCTGATATAAATCTATTGGGATTTGGAAATATATATATGCATGGAATATTTTTATTGATTTTTGTGGTTCAGTGAGTCAGAGGAAATGCCATTACCAGCTAGCAGCACAAATCCATGGCTGGGCTGGCCATTAATTAAATTATGGATTGGTGGTCGGTGCCCCGAACCACCGCATGGCGAAGCTTCCTTCCCTAGTATTGTATGTAGCAGCGTCACTTTGATGGAATTAATATCTATCATCTGCGCACATTTATAATTAATCATACAATATTTAGGTGTCTAAATAATCACACGATATTTAGAATTAAGCATTCAATATTCTTACAGATGAATCTGTTTGTAGCTGTTGTACCCAAATAACCATGGACTGGCATATATTAAAAATACATCTCATATATAATTAGCTGAGTAATACTTTTAACCACATAGTAATAGTATCTGCGACAGAATTATTATCAATACAAGTACAACCGTGGTCCTTAACAAGTGGCTATAAGAAAGTATAAAATAACTTGTAAAACTTAGAGAATCGAATCTAAGTCATAAATGTATGCAAAAAATATATTGAAGATATATCTGCATTTCCCCCCATGGATTCCATTTTTCGCCCAAACCAAAAACTTCGTTTCTGGTGTAGCTTTAGCAGCATGTATTGTACGTTTAGTTATATAAAATTAATACTAATTGTTTTAAACAAAAAATTTAATATTGACTGTTATAATTTACTTGTTTATTAGATTTTATCACACTTTATGAGATGAGTGGATATAATTATTTGACGTTTAAATATATTTATACAACATACTTGAATAAATGATTGTAAGTGGAGTAGTAACAAAATAAAAATAAAATAATAATCATATTTAAACAATTCAATGTTTAAAGAAGTTCAACTGCTCTAGCTGTCCTTTACGATCTCAAAAAAAAATTATTCAATGAACTTGTAATTTTTGCTCCAATAAAATTATAGATTTTCGACACAATAAGTTATAGTTTTTACATTAGGGGGGGAAAACTACATAACATCCTTACAACAGCGAGATGTAACTTTTGCATGGATTACAATTTACCTCACACACAAAAATATCCCAAGAAATACATTTTTTTGTCAACTTCATTAATTATAAATTCTAGAAAGTCAAATCCTACTCTCTATTTGCAAAATAAATTATTTGATATTAAAAAGTAATCATCAAATAATCTTTTAAATTATATTTTCGTACTATTAATAAATATATATTACATTATGTATTTTAATATCAAATAATATCTAATTAATAAAATTATTAAAGAAATATATTTTAATTTTATCAATTAAAATTTAAACCAATATCTAACAATTCAAACCTCCTAATTATTTAAAATTTATAAAAACTATAAACAAATGATTTTTCTTTTGAATTAATCACTGGTATTTGATCTATTGACCGACTAATCTAGATCGGGTACTGGCAGAGGCGAGGGCAACCCTTCCAACCCATTTTGCTCCATTCACATACTCTAGGGTTCGAACCCATGACCTTGCTTAATAAATTTAATGTCTCATTCCACACTAATTAATTGTTAGTAACAAATGATATATTTTTTAACCGAATCCAATTTCAGTTCTCCAAAGTCTATATTTAATTATTCATAATATAGAGTCTCGTATAGTAGGAGCAGAAGTAGGACATTTATATATTTTTTTTCACTAAACATTTATATAATTTTGATTTCGATTTGTAATATATATATAAAATATTCAAACTTTAGTCCATAAATATAAACATCATCCAGCGTTTGTGACAAGTCATTCCAATAAAAAGGAGAACTAAAGGGGAAGAGCAGGGGAGATCATAGTTGGAAAGCTTGACAAAATTTATCTACTACTATTATAGGCTAGGGTTCCAACAAACACAATGGGCAATAGTTTAAGGTGTTGTTTGGCTTGTGTTCTTCCATGTGGAGCCCTGGACTTGATCCGCATCGTCCATTTGAACGGACATGTCGAAGAAATTACACGTCCAGTCACCGCCGGCGAGATCCTCAAGGCCAACCCCAATCATGTGGTTGTCCAAACCATCTCTCAGCGTCAGATTTCGATCATCTCGCCTGAATCTCATCTCAGAAGAGGCGGCATTTACTTTTTGATCCCAGACAAGAAAAACAGCGCCATGCACCATAACAAATCATCCAGAAGAAACATTCCTCGAGTAAGGATCGCGGCCGCCCCAGCACAGTCATGTCGGAGTATGGCGGCCTCATCTCGCCATCATCTCCGAAGTACTAATTAGCGATTTCTTTTTTCCCTTTTGTTTATGAGTCTGCGAATTATATGCAGTTTTCGGAATTAATTCCACCAATTGTGTATTTGGGTTGTCATGGAAATTAGCTTCTATATCACTGGATACAGAATATTTTTTTCCCATTTTCTTTTACTGTAATGCTTATTTTCAAATTAAAATCCCACGCCCGTAAAAAGTGAGTTAAAAATATGTATATTGATTTTTACGGTAAACTATGTTTAATATCTAATTTATTATTATTATTATTATTATTATCTGTTTTGTTATTAAATTTTCTTCTTAAAATTATTTATCATTTAGTTTAGGTTTCAATTTGGTACCTAGATATTAAAAATTAACAAATGCATTAACGTGACACTTTTTTAATTTTTTTCAATGATGACATGACATTAGTTTATGAGACATATCAACATTATGTTAAAATTTTAACAACATTGTATCAAAAATGAAACTTAAACTAAATGCTAGTATGATTTTGAGAAAAAAAATAAAATTTAGGTATCAGACATAATAAAATAATAATTTAAGTATTAAACGTGCAATTTACCATTTTGATAGTATTAGATAATTACAATGTATTATTTATAATGTTCCCATCTTATTGATAACGTGCACACACAATGTAAACATAATTATTTGAACCCAAAATCTCTTGGGATAAAAACCTCATTTTTACCACTAAAATGTATAATTACCAATTTTTTAAAACAAATTATAAATTTAATTATAATCCTATTTAGAGGGAATAAGAAGAGAAAAGAAATGATAATACTCCTAATAAGTTTAAAACATATATGAGCCGCTACCAACCAACTAATATATTTACTTCTGATTACTCAATATTTAAACATTTGGCCAGCAACAAGTTGCATGCTCTATGGTTGTTATCGTATACTAAAAAATTATAATAATTATTTGATCATTGCAAAGTGACAAAAACCTCATTATGGTGACCAGATGGATTAATTGAATGGAGAACAATAATTGCAATTAAGTTGTACATTTTTGTATTAAGGATCAATAATACTATGAAATATACTACTATGAAATGCGGCAAACTAATCGATTAACAATCGAACGGCTTCTCTCTCGTTAAGTTATTATCAAAAACAAGTAGTTGTAGTTATTAACTAATGGGTAATTGATTGGAAAAGAAGATGAAGTGTAGACGTTGGATTAAGACGACAAATAAGCTGAAATTTGCAGGCTAAATATAAAACTAGGGTAAAGTACACAAATGGTCCCCCGACTATAGGGTAATATTTTATTGAGTCTCTGACTATTAAAAGTTACAAAATGTTTCTCTAACTATATGGTGTTGCTTTGTTGAGTCCCTCAACTATTAAAAATTACAAAATGGTCACTTGAGTATTCATATGTTCCAAACTTATCCTTTATCTGTAAAAAAAAAAAAAAAAATTGACGGTCGTCTAGGCTTGACGTTAACCTATTGACTGGATATGATAACATTTGATCCCATAATTGTTTCAGTTGTATAGTCGTTTGAGATTTTGGGATAAGATTTTATTATATCTCAATCAACAAGTTAACGTCCATTTCAGACTGTCGCCAATTTTCTAACGGAAAATGATGATTTTAGAACATATGAATAGTCAGATGACTATTTTATAACTTCTAACAGTCAAAGGACTCAACAAAGCAACACTCAATAGTTGGAATATCATTCTTTAATTTTTAATAGTCAATATACTCAACAAAACAATGTCTTATACTCGGGACCATATTTTTACTTTACCCATACAAATAATTGCAAAACAATGTGCTGCTTCAACACATTTATCGAACAACCCGATTGATTCTCACATAAAACATGAACTTCCCATAAATATTTAAACGAAGTCTTTATTAATTTATAAACTTTAATTGCTTACATAAATAGTTCGCACCATGCGCACAAACCACTTTCTTGATTTTAGTTTTTCAGGTCATGGATTTCCTTTCCTTAAGCTTATTCTCAGTATTTTTTTAATCATGTATGCTTTGTCTACATGAAATTACGTAATCACCTTTAAATTTATTGTAATAAAATCATATAATATGACTTTAAATAATAAAAGAGGTCAGTATAAAGCCCATGATCAATTCAATTTTATCTAAATATACATGATATAATTACATAAAATTTTATACTGAATTAATTAATTATTAAAAAAACGATTGAATAAGTTGGAGATCCCCGTAAACTAGCGTGTCGAGCATTGTGCAACGTTGGCGACAACAAACTTAGTAACCAAAGAAAATATGTGAGAGAGGCTTGGTGGATTTTCTCTAGATTGGAGACATAATCATATATAAATGAGAGAGGCTTTAAAATATGTTTAAAGAAATATATATTCTAATTGAATTCACTGTGATTAAATTATGAATTTTAAAACGTTAAGAGTTTTAATGAAATTATTATGTATGTAATGTTTTACGAGGTTGATGATTGATCAAAATTTTGACAGGTGATTTGAAAATGTATAATATACGTACTAATTTAATTAAAATAAAAATAATTGTTAATAAATTTTTGTTGATTAGATTTCATATTTTTTTATTTGATTATTATGTAGTCTATTTATATTTTATGATTTAAGGTTTAGGATTAAAATGAACAAAATTATGAAGTCTAAATTTTACACAATTGTTTTTTGGATAATTCAATTTCATTATCCAAGAAGCAGAAAAACCTGCTACAGTAAACAAAGACAATAAACAACACAATAGCAAAGCAAGGAAAACCACATGGAAACCACAAAGAAAGACCAGTCAACTAAACTAGAACAGCAAAGATAGGCTCTATTCAAGCAATGCCCCAATTGGCACACAAAGCATTGTTAACCAAGTCTAACCGGTTGAAAGCTTTGGCCACCAGCCGAATGTGTATGGTCTCTTTGATATCACCTAGCAACTCATCCTTCGATCTTGCCCTGTTCCCGAATAATCTGCCATTCCTTTCATTCCATATACCATAAATGTGCCCAGACCAAACAAACTTAAGAATTACCACAATGAGGGACTTACCCTTGAATAGTAAGGTAGGCCAAGCCAATTCACTCTCCTAGCTACAACCTTCTCGAGAGATGCAACAAAGATTAAGAATGGATCCCCAAAGATCCCTTGCAAATTGGCATTCAAAGAATAAACGATCCCTTGTCTCTGCTCTTCACCACACAGCAAGCATTTATCCGTTTCTAAGGCAAGGCCCATGCGTAGAAGCCTTACCCGAGTTGGAACCTTTTACACAATGTGTTTCAAATATCTTTTAAAATATTATTATAATAAATTATTTTATCTTTTTGCATAGTATCCAAATAAAAAAATTAAAATTTTAAATGATTGGATACGAGATAACTATAACCTTTTATACAAATCCTTTAGGATTTCACTCACTCACTAAATAACCAAGTCCGTGTACTCTCGATATGTTTCAAATTTAGTTCATTTACTTTTATTTTCAATAATTTTGTGTCTTACTTTTTAAATAAAAAATTTAAGTTTAATTCTTGATACTATTAAAAAGTTGCTATTGAATTCAAGACCATCACAATATCGTTTTTTGTTACATGACTTACAAATTGGTACTTTATTTTTAAATTTTATATCAACAAATTTAACAAAAAAAAATTAACAATAAAAATAAAAATAAATTTTTAAATCTTATTAAAGGATGAAAATTATTTAGATAAAAGTAAAATGATTAAATTCTAAATGTACATAGAATGTGTGGATGTAGAGCATATTTTACTCAAATAATTTATAAACAGACTAATTAAACTTTTGGTTGAGTTGTGTTGATCATGTGCTAACTACATTAGAAAATGTTTGAAAAATTGTTTAATGGTTACAAATATTAGTAGTATGATCTTTTTTATCTTATCTCGTTCAACTAAAAATTAATATTTAAAATAAGTGTTTGAGAATTGAATACGACGTGAATGAGATTTGTACAAATTTTGTAACATTCCATTTATACTTATTCATTAAATAATATATGTATTATAGTTTTTTCACTAATGTATCAAGATTTATATGAGGACTATTATATCAAACATTATTAATGGGAAAAAATAACTTCATAAGCAGTATTCAAGTAATGTTAAGTACTATATTATCCATTTTTATTTTTAAATTTATTTAAAATAATGTAAATTGAATATTACTTATAAAATTATTTATAAGTATTGTATCAAATAATAACCCCTCACATAATCTAGTATACTAATAGTTTAGGTACTAAATATGGTGTACTAAAATGAACAAAAACTAAACGAATGAGGCGAAAAGAATAGCTAAAGAAATAATAAGAAAAAAATAGAATTGAACAACCGTACAAGCATTTTTTGTGCATTGCATACGTTTTTACAATGGAATTCTCTTTTTTTTTTCTTTCATCGAAAAAAGAAAAAAGATAAAATATAGAGTCTATTAGACCTAGATCAATAAATAATTGATGCGTAGTGGATCTTGAAGTACTATTTCTGCATCCCCTTACCAAATCCACCCACATTATGATTAATTGTTAATGGTTGATCAAGTTTGATAGATTCACCTTCTGAAGCCATTTTTCATCTGTGAATTGTTAATGAATGCACCTCATTCGTTGACTTTATGTGATCTAATCTTTCTATCAAGCATGCCTTTCATTATATTATAAGGTAGGGGCCCATGAATCTAGTCTCTGCTTTTTATTCAGTGCTTAGTCCTTGAATCTAAAAAGAATACAGAAATAGAAAAAAAGAATAGGATTGACGCCAATAGTTAATCACGGAATAAAGGACTCACTGAGCCGGGATCACTAACTAATACTAATCTAATACTAATAGAATAGAAAAAATAGAATAGAAAATACTAATATAATACAAAGACTAATATAATAGAAAGAAAATAATTGTCTTTTCTGTATACTTTCCCCGATTCCATTACTACCGCGGGCTTTACTCAATAAAAAAAACGCGAAATTTCTTACTTTTCGTGGAGGATTA